GAGAAGAGATAAAGTCAAAGAGAATGCAAGGTGGGGATAATGGAGCAAGGAGAGGCATGGTAACGGGGACCCCTGCAATGCACAAGCTTTGTTAGGCCAACGTTAAACAATAGAAATACATAAGAGTATATAATTGTTTTATATTTTAACTTTTTAATAAACAATCTAATCAAACTCAACCCGAGTTGGTTGGTTTTCTAGTATTTCAGATCGGCTTTGGTTTAATAAATATATATTAATATTTTATATTTTATATTTAATTTTTTTAATATTGGAAAGTAGGAAAATTCTCATATTTCTTAGTCTAAAATATTTTATATCATAGATTTAATTTTTGTAATTTATTTTTTAATAATATCGTTGTAGTTTATGAAATTTAAAGTTAATTTTTAAGTTTAAATCTTTTGAACAAACAAACTAAACCAAAAATAGACCCAAATCGATACAACCCGAGTTAGTGGATTTTCACTAATGGTCAACCGGTTTGGAGTGACAAACTACGGAATTGAACAGATCGATTTGTTGGTGAAACAGCCTGCAATTGAATTGAACCAATCATTGAACATTCTTAATTTCAACTAAATTTATAGTCTAATCTCTAATAAATAACAATAGTTTAATCTCCAATAATTATTGAAAATTTATAGCAAACGTACACAATCAATGAAAACAAGTTTATAATGAAAATATAATAGATATATAATATACTAAATTAGTCAATAAAAGCTGAAAAATATACTAAATTAGTCAATAAATAGTGGAATCTCAAATAATAGCTTAATCTCTAATAAGTATTAAACTATAAATTGTAAAAAATATATAATTACTAAAAATAAATTTATAACAAAAATAAAATAAATACAATAAATTAAATTTCAAAATTTCAAAAATAGTTGTTTAATCTCCAATAATTATTGATAATTTTATATTAAATAACAAAATAAAAATATATTTATAAATAATTATTGAAAACATATTTATAAAAAAACAAAAAATAATTACTGAAAATAAAATAAATATTAATTATAGTATATATAAATATATAATGAATATAAACTATTATTGTAAAATTATTACTAATAAATATAATTTTTTTGATAGTTATTTATATAATTATTAATTTATATAAGTGAAATTAGTTATTTACAATGTTATTTAGTTATGAAATAATATTGTTATTTAAATTCTTAAAATATTAATTATTTATTGAATTTAGTAATCGATAAAATTATAATTGTACCATTATTTCATAATTCGTTTTTTATTTTGCAAAACATTAAGTTATTATTAATATGAATATTATGAATTCTGTTATAATTATTTTTAAAATTTATTACATAATTTCATTATTTTAACTATTTAAAATTTTGTCATGTTAAATATTTTGTTATTTAAATAATATGTAAAATACTTAAAACTTTTATTATTTGAATTTTATTTATTTTAAAGTTATTACGTTTATATTATTTAGCTATTTTTAATGCTTTTTATCTAAGATTTTAGTTATTGAAATATTTAAATAATGTTTTATTTTTTAATGTTAATTTTTTATTATTTGAATAACATTTAAATTGAATAATTCATAAAATTATAATTTATATTGTTACTACATAATTTCATGATGAATTTGTTAAAAATATTGAATTATTAATAATATGAATAATATTAAATCTATTAATTTTTTGTGTTTTGAATAAATATTTTAAATGTAATATATAATTCCTTTATAACATTTAAATATTTCTGAATATTTTTAATTGAAATTTTCTTTAGATAGATATAGATAAAAAGTAAGGAGAGGATAAATAGGAATTAGAGATARTTTAGGAGAGAATCTCTCTTCTAAATTAGAGATAATTTAAGAGATAAATAGGAATTAGAGAAAATTTAGGAGAGAATCTCTCTTCTAAATTAGAGATAATTTAAGAGATAAATAGGAATTAGAGACAATTTAGGAAGAAGTGGGGGAAAGTGGTGCCACTTGGCCAACATTAGAAAAGCATATCCCTCTTTATGGTTGTTAGAAAAAGTTAAGGGTATGTGATTTCCTTATTAGTTTAATGGGTAATTACGTGGAATTAAAAAAATAAAAATTTCAAAAAAACATAAAATTAGAAAAGGGGTTTGAAGCAAAGAGAAATATGGTGATGTGAACAGACCAATTATATATATATATATATATATATATATATATATATATAGATAGATAGATAGATATAGATATAGATAGATAGATAGATAGATAGATAGATAGATTACGCAACAATGCGGATTTAGCTGAGCAAATGAAGAAGGCCTTGAATTGTGAATCACCTCGCAAGAAGACAACAAATGAGAACCATGAATCATCCGTGAGGCTAAGAAGCATCTATAACATGCTTCGTAAGGCAAAATAAGGCCAAACTACGAATCGCCTTACTAAATATCAATCCGTCCTTGAAGCGAGGAAAAGAAAGGGCATTCATGACCCACCCCACCGCACCCTGTTATGCAAGAAGACTAGATTCCCTCACTGAATCATGATACGCCTTGTAATAGTCATCCAGCTAGGAACCACCCCAAAAAAGTACTCCTGGCCTAGATAAAATGACCTACCTCATGGAGCTACACACATTTTGCAAAGTCCCACATATGGGAAGTTCGAGACAAAATAAATAAAAGAAGAGGGTATTGGTAAAGTTCATACTTGGGGTCATTAGATGTGTGGTCAGTACTAAGGTTTTAAAAAGCTAAACACATAGTTGAGGTGTGGTGGTTCAAAGAGGCGAGGCATAAGACTCAAGGCGTTATACAGCATAAGCCTCAAATAGCAAGGGAAACAACAATATCAAGAACTTTTGGTTGGTTTGAATAAAAGAACAATCACCTTTCTTTCTTGCTTGCAAGACTTTAAGTCTATCCTTATCCTTGTTGGCTTACATCAAGGCTATGTTTGGTTTGAAGGAAAAGGTAAGGAAAGGAAGGGAAAGACAGAAAAACCTATACAAGGTTTGTAAAGGTTTCCTCATCTTTCTCTTCCTTTCCCTACCTTTTCCTTCAAACAAAACATAGCCCAAGAATCTCTGATTAGGGTTTTGTCCCAAAACAGCCCCTACCAAGGAAGTAGCTAGCGCCGGAGGTAGAGGTGCTAACCGTAAAGGAGGAAGAAGAAGATATACAATATGATTAATGGGCAAGTGGAGCAAAAGCAAGATTGCTTACTCTAACTATTGTAGAGTCACTTTTGAACCACAAGAAATTAAGTACCACCACCAATGACGGCAGGCCAAACACCACTAGAATCATTAAATCATGACCCTTCCATGCTGATAGGAAGTCATCTGACACCAAAACCAACCAAGGTTCAATTAAAAGAAAGGATACTACCAAGAACCCAGTCTTTTAAGCCATCATCCCCATTGACACACCACCCTTTGTCCCCCACAGCCATAGATCTAAGCTCCATAGTGTTAGAACTCTAGAAAGAAAGAATTTAGAATCTAAACAAGGAGGAACTCATTGAGTATCTTTAATTTGTGATCTCAAGGAACAAATTAACCTAAACCCTTTTTCTATCAAAGAACATATCCTGCACACATCACAGAAAAGCCTTATGCACCTGGCTACCAACCACCACCAGCACAAGGGAACATATCAACAAATTCGAGGATGACTTAGGTTTTTATTTCACCAAATGTACCCGTGGTTTGTCATTCTAGTGTCCAAACACCTAGGGGGATATGGTGGAAGGTTTCGTGATAAAATGGTTCATACCGGAAAGAATGACAACTCTAGCTGATTTGCTCAAAAACCCAATGACTATGTCATACGATTTGAAAAGAAGCGGCAAATGTACTTTGGAAATTGGGATTATACTGAAAGGGCAACTTTTGGGTCTTAATATCAATAAAATTATTACTTGTAATAAATTTTTAAAAATAAATTAATATTTTAAAAATAATATCAATTAAGGGTAAAAATACTGTTCATCTTCTTCTTCTTGCAATTCACTCATCGTCGCCTTCGCCTCTGGCAACCTCCAGCAACGTCTCCGCTCACCTCCGTCGTCTCTGCCCACTTCTGGCAATGCCTCTGTCCACCTCCGCCTCCACCTCTGCTCAACGCCATCATTTTCGCCCACCTCCGCTTCCGCCTACGGCAATGCCAACAGTTATCGTCACAATACCAAGGAAAAACTAGTTCTCTTCGTGTACCCATCCAAGTATGTTCTTCTTCTCTAGCTTCCTTGCATTGAAAAGATTAAAGATTTGGTAGAGGACAAAAGTATTGAACATCACGGTGTCGTTGATCTTCTCACTCATCTAAAAGATAGAGCTTCCACTAAAATATTGCAGCACCATTAAGACTGCCACCTGATACAGAGCTTGACCAATATATGAGGTTCCTATACATGATGCTATTGATAAGATCAGACTTGCTTCGACCTACTGGAGGCTTTTCCATGAGCTCATCGGTAGGCTGCTCTGCAGCTAGTGCCAAGGCAACGAATACATCCATTATCAGGTTCACCCACAGTAGCTGGATTGCCGTTAAAGGGACTCTACTAGAAGAAACAGCTGCAACAAAGTTGATCACTAGGGTAGCAACATTCACTGTGAGCTGGAACTACATGAACTTTTGAATATTGCTGTAAATGCACCTCCCCACTTCAAAACAGTTATTACAGAATCGAAGTTACCTTCTGCAATGATGATGTCTGATGTTTCCATTTCCATTTGAGTGTATTGGTCCTCATATATATCCCAATATCAGCTTCTTTGATTGTTCGCAGACCATTTCTATCGTCCCCAATGACCACCACGACTTGGTTTTTTCCCTTTAGGCACTGTACCATCATGTATTTGTCAGAGGAGCAGCACCTTGCCATTACCTTGATTTTATCAGCCTTCTCCTCATTTCTCCATTTGAATATTTCCGGAAGTCTTCTCCTTCCACCACTGTTTCTTCAATCTTCAAGTCCCCATCAGGTCCTAGTATCCCAAAATCAATAGCTATAGATCATGTCGGAGGTGGGCGGAGGCAGGGTCATTGACCAGCGCCGCCACCGCCTTTGTCTCCGCCCACCTCCAACAATGTTGCCGGAGGAAAAGCCGGAGGTGGGTGGAGACGGCGAAAGCATTGCCGGAGATTGTCGGAGGCGGCACCGCTGATGAATGGATTGTATGAGAAAGAAGATGAACACTCTTTTTGCCTTTAGTTGATATTATTTTTAAAAGATTAATCTATTTTTGAAAATTTATTGAATGTATTACTTTTATTGATATTAGGGCCCAAAAGTTAACTTTATCCACTATAATCCCTTGGAAATTTTGATAGCCTCTCATTTGGAAGAATACTATAAATCTTTTAAAGCACCCTTAAGTGTTAGGAATTTGACTTACTCTATTCCTACTATTTAGAAATTTCTTTAAAAGTACCCATACTTTTTCTAACAACTGATTAGATCCCCCCATATTAGCATTCCATCACAATCCATTAACATGTGACATCACATGATGTACAAATTGTTTTTAAACCCAATTTACCCTTTTGTTGTCTACTTTTCCCTCTACTATTTTTTAAATTTTCAAAATATTACCCTTGTGGTTGATCTTGCCCTTCATTATTCTTTAAATATTCAAAATATTACATTTTTGTGCTCCACCTCTCTACCTTGAACCATAATATGCAAACCAGTGAGACCGTTTTGGATATTCCAGTTTCAAGATTTTAAAAGGCTAAAGGCGTAGTTGAAGCATAAGCCTCGAAAATTAAGAAAAATGTAATTAAAATTTATAAATAATAAAAATAACATGTAATATACTAAGTTAGAATGATAGAAGGTACAAATATCCATAAAATAGAAGTTTACAAGTAAAAAGTTTTAACTTCTAAGTATTTAATAAAATAATAATTAATCATCTAACAATTATAAGCATTTTACATTTTATTTTTCAAAATGCAATCTTACAAAATGATTCGTATGAAGAATCATCAATATAATGGACATTAGATTTATGGTCATCCAGCTATGGTGAAAAATGAAACAAAGTTGTTGATTTGATCTATGCAAATAAAAAATCAATAAAAAGATAAATAATTCCATTAGGAAAAGAAATGACAAAAACAACAAGTTTGGGATGTTAAATTAGAATATTAAGAAAAAAAATCCACTTGATTTATCCAAGAGAAACTAAGGGTCCGTTTGGTTCGTAGTCGGAATCGGAATCGAAATCCTCCAGAATCGGAACCAAAATGGTCCATTCCCATAGTCTATTTGGTTCAGACAGGAATGGGAATGAGAATTAAAATCAACAGAAATAGGATTTCATTCACAAGGGAGGGGTAGGGAATGGTTATTCCTTCAAATGGGGGAATACCATTCTAACAAGAATGGGAATGGGATTCTGATTCCACCCAACCAAACAGTTGAAATCTGAATAGCCCATTCCGATTCCAATTCTAGACCCCTATTCCTACAAACCAAATGGAGCCTAATAACTTGATTGGCTTTTTTTTTTCTTTTTTTTTTGCATTGAACTCTCTTAATAGGCTAAAATACTAAGAGAAACTAATAGAACTTGATATGCCCTATTGGTCTTTAATTTTCTCTTTTTATTTGGCCCATAATTATTAAAATGCTTTTTCTATATATTTTGAAATATATAAAATACATAAAAGTATGAAACCACTGAATAACGTTAATATTTGAGACTTATTCCTTTTTATGCCTCACGCCTTAAGACTTGAGGCTTACACCTCATTCTGACAATGGTTTAGCCTCAGACAAGGTTCAAAATATCGATACGCCCAATACGCCAATAGGGGTGTATAGAGTGAATTGATACTGCTTTTTTATGCTTTTTTTTTTTGCAACCGGTTCAGGACTCCACCCCCCTGAACCGGTCAGACCCCCGATACACCCACCATAGGGGCATATCAGAGGGGTTCCGGAATGATACATATCGACCGATTTGGGACAATACATGTCGACACTTTAAACCTTGGCCTCAGGGTAAAATTGTAAGGCTTCACTCTTCAGGCAAAATCTAAGCACTTCACTTCAATGCGTATGCCTTATGCCTCAATGCTTAATCCTTTTAAAATAATGTGTATGTTCTAGTAAGATGAGAGGAAGTGGAAGATGTACTTTACTTTCAAGACCCAAACCCACAAAAGTCAAATTCAGAGACTAACACCCGAAAAAACTGCTAAACTGCAGTCTAACAGAAACGCACATGAATTGCTTGATGGGCTGGGGGATCTAAGATTGAATATCGTTTTCTTTGTTTGGATTTTCCTCTTCTCGAAAGATCAGAACCTGCGTAATGGATGATACTCATCCTCCAGTCGGCCTTCGACAATTGTCCAGCAAATTTATTGGATCCAACATAAGAGCAATATATATCTCATTCTGCGGTTGTTCCCTATTGGTGATCCTCCTCCTCAAATCACCACACCTACTGTTACGTGAGGCAGATAATTTGGTCAAAAGGGCAGGATTTTAAGAGATGCTTTGGTTGGGTGTTCGTGGGAAGGAAGAGAATGAACGGTGATTTCCGCTTTCTTCTCAATTTGATTTGCAGATTTTAAGAAAAGAGCAATTTAGTTAAAAAGAATTCGTTGTTCAGTTCACCGTTCTTGGCATGTATCAAATTTTGTGAAATCATAAAACTTTATTATCTATATCTAAAGAGTGTAAGTGGACCTTTTATTTGATTATAATACCTCATCTTTTCAATTTGGCTCCTCTCTCATTTTAAGGACAAAGATGTAATTTGAACAATTTTATTCCTTCAAATCCCTTTCATTAAGTCTTATATTTAAGGTATTAATTTTCATAACCATTCATTGAATTCTATTTTTGACTAGAATACCCCTATTGCGAGGGTACACTATAATTTGAAGTAGTGCATTTCTCCTCGTTCAATTCTCTTTTATTAAGTCTTAAATTTAGGGTGTTAATTCTCATTCTTTCACTAAATCTTATATTAATTGATCATATTAAAAAGTAAGTACAACAAGAAATAATTATTTTTACGGATGATAGAAATAAGATATAAATTTAAAATCAACCCAAAAATAGAGATATTTTCCTATATGGTGGCAAGTCAACAATTCAACCTCAAATCTATAAATCCTTGATATCATAATTAAATAATAATACAAATTGAAAAGATTAAATAATTGTAAAAAACATTTGGACACACCTCTAATATCATATATTCAGCATATTAAACAATAATAAGTGTGATAAATAAAAATAATTATTTTAGACAAAAATATAAAAAAAATGTAAAAAGTTTTGAAAACATATATTTACTATCATAATCATAAAAAATTATCACGTGCAAAGCATGTACTGATGTACACACTTACTAGTTTTTTTAAGGGCACAAAAAGCATGATCGCAACCAAACAAAATTTTCCAATAAACCCACTTCTACCTGTCACTGAAATAACAAGGAAATGATCATTCAGACATTTTTAGCATTACAGCCTGCACTCAATAGTTATGGACCAGCAATTTTCAACACCATTAATTGGCTGAAATGTCAGCACAAGATCGATGGTGACTATCATCATCAAAGGTACCAAAATTCCTAGTCAAGTCCCCAAGTGATTGGGGTGTGCAATCAGTCGGTTCGGTTCGGTTTTATTAGAATCCAAGACCTAACTGACTACTTGGTTTGACCATCTCTCCCAATTGAACCGAACTGGACTATAATTTAAAACCAAATCGATCCTAACTAAATTCAGTTCGATTTGATTTGGTTTTAATGATTAATAAACAATTAGCTATTAACCTTTAGTATAAGTTTTAATGAGCATTTAATACAACTATAATCATTTAATGAACAATTGAATGATTAATTATTAAAGCAACTACTCTCATTCTTTACAAACAATTTATAAATAATTAATAATTAGTCTAGACTTTAATACTCTAGTTGTTAGAGTCTCTAAGTTATTTAATTAATTATTATTAATTAAAACCTGGAATAGGCCCAACCTCCCAAAACACAATGGGGAATTGCAAATTGATCATTACCCATTGAAAAATATAATAATTATTAATTAATAAGTATAAAGTATTGAATAGAATATTATATATTTAATCTATTTAAGTAAATACAACCACTAATTTGGTTTTTGGTTCAGTTCAGTTGAAAAGCTCAACCAAACCAAACCAAACCGAACCTGAAAACTGAATTTGTAAAAAAACAAAAACTAAATCGAACTGATATCCAAATTAACCGAACCAAATTAACTTATTCAATTTAATTCAGTTCGGTTTTCGGTTTATCAACCAAATTTGAACACTCCTACTAACTGATAGCAATATAAGAATTATCTGTAAATACTTGAAATTAAAAAAAAAAAAACTAATTCACTAGTTGTAAGAGTTCTTTTTTCTAGGGAAGTAGGGATTTCTGTAGTTCAAAAAATTAGTACCCAATAATCTTGACATGGTCAAGAAAGAATAAAACCAGTGTTTCGTACCATGAAAATTCCAAGTTCCAAGCAACATGTTTTAATACTAATACTCCTCTACAATTATTGTGGAGGCACTATTCTTGTCTATGTAATGTAATTTCAGATGCGGAAGTGATTTGGACTTATTACTTATGAAAGAGCCAAGCCCCTATTTGATTAGGATGTGAACTGAAGGTGCCAAATCGTTTCTCCTTAGAATTAGTTTGGTCAAGAATGGGGGTTTCCATGAATACGACTATTCAATTAGTTTAAAAGTCTAAATTGTCATCTCCCAACAACAGTCATCATTTGAATTTAAAACTGTCAAATGGTCGGGTCTACTGGATAGAACCAAACCAACTGAATCGATAATATATAGGTCTCTTGGTTCTCTTTTTGTTATATTTTATCTAAATGGTAAACTTCATAAATTTTGGTTTTAAAGAAAAAAATTTTATTAACATATAAATAATTTATTAAAAGCATGTTAAAAAATGACCAAAAAATGGAATTGTTCTGACCACTGATTTTTAGGTCAATGGTTCCATCATTCGGTTCAAATGAATGGTCTCTTCTGATAATATAAATTAAAATAATTAAAAATAAAAAAGACAAAAACCGTTGAACAGATCGACGGGTTGACGGTTTGACCATCCGAATTAACGGGTCATTAGCCGATTCAACAGTTTTTGGACAAGATCAGGTTTGGAGTAAAACGGAACCGATTGCCTAGATGGTTCCCGGATGTACTGATCCATTATACTTTCATTCTGTCATTTGTGGTACTTTTTCCCTAAAAAAAATTATGTAAAAATCTATATATAAATTATAATGAAACAATAAAATTAAAGAAATATTATGTGGAATTAAATGAAAATTTGTATAAAAGACTTCTAAGAAACCCATTTCATTCTATCTGTGAAATCACAAGGAAAGTGATCCTTAAGACATTTTTAGGCTAGACGCTCAGCAGACCTGAAATTTTCAGCTAACTTGGGTTGAAATTTCATCTCAAGCTCCATTGTGACTATGAATAGCATTCTCACGGGTGCCAAAAATTCCTAAACGATTAATCAAATGTTTGAAAACCCAAAGTTTTTCTTTTTCATATTCAGTGACAACCACAAAAAATAGCAATAATTAACTAGCTATATCTCAACCCAATTTTCCATTCACCTGAATATAAATATCTGAGTTTTAAGTCTGGTTAGTTTAAAACCGGCCAGGTCCCAGCCACATTCATCAACAGAACACTACTGATAAACTTGGATCTATACACAATGTTCAGAATACTCTCAACTCTTGGAATCCTACCCTCCGTTGTTCTCATACTCCTCCGCATACCCTTGCAATTGCAATGTTTAGAACATCCTCAACTCTTGCAAGAAGAACGAGAGACTCTACTGAAACTAAAGCAAGAATGGGGAAACCCACCCTCGCTCAGCTAATGGAATTCATCTGTCAGTCACTGCAAATGGACGGGAATCTCCTGTGTACAAGGTTCTGTCACTAGCATCTCACTCTACAACATGAACATCACAGGCAAAATTCCTCTGGCCATTGGCAATCTCAAGAGCCTCTCCGACATCAACCTCTCTAGCAACTATATCACTGGAGAATTCCCAACTATTCTCTACAATTGTTCTAAGCTCCAGAATCTTGTTCTCTCCATAAATAGCTTTGCCGGCAAGATCCCCGACGATATCCACCGGCTTTCTACCTCCTCATCCTCGATATTAGTGCAAACAAATTCTCTGGGCATATTCCAGTGGCAATTGGACGTTTGACGGCATTGCAGGTTCTTGGTCTTTATTCCAATGAGTTCACTGGCACCATCCCTCTAGAAATCGGGAACTTATCAAACCTTGAAATGCTTTCTACGTTTGGTAATAAGTTCGAGCCTTCGACGATATTGATGGAACTCACGCGGTTGAAGAAACTTAGATATTTGTTTATGTCAAATACCAGTTTGATTGGAGAAATTCCAAGTTCACTCGGTGATCTGACAGAGCTTATGACATTGTCTCTCTCGGACAACAATCTTAATGGGACAATACCTAGTAATTTGTCTCGGTTGAAGAAACTATTATCTTTGGATCTTCGTGGTAACAGGTTGTCTGGGAAGATCCCACAATCAATCGGTGATATGATAGAGCTTCTGTTATTGGCCGTCTCACGTAACAATTTGAATGGTACGATACCCAGTAATTTGTTTATTCAATTGAAGAAACTAGACATTCTTCATCTTTCTCATAACAGGTTTTCCGGGACAATCCCTAGCAACTTGTTTCAATTGAAGAAACTAAAAATTTTGGATTTATCTAATAACACATTCTCTGGTGAGATTCCACTGTCAATGGGTGATATGACAGAGCTTGAATTGTTGGATCTCTCGAAGAATAATTTGAACGGGACAATCCCTGGAAATTTGATTCAGCTAAAGAAACTACAAGGTTTTGATCTTTCTGACAACAGATTGTTTGGAGAGATCCCAAAATCCATCGGTGATATGACAAGGCTTAAATGGTTGGATCTCTCATCCAACAATTTAAACAAGATAATCCCCAGCAATGTGTTCAAATTAAAAGAACTAGAGATTTTGGATCTTTCTAATAACAGATTGTCAGGAGAAATCCCACAATCCATCGGTAATATGACAAAGCTTAAATGGTTGGATCTCTCGGACAACAATTTGAACGGGATAATCCCCAGCAGTGTATTCAAGTTAAAAGAATTAGAAGGTTTGGATCTATCTAATAACAGATTGTCTGGAGAGATCCCACGACAAGTTGAAGCTTTGAATTTGAGTGATATTCGTCTATCCAGCAACAGTTTGACTGGTACAATTCCAGAAGACTTTGGGAGATTGACCAAGTTGCGGGTCTTGTCTCTGCATTCCAATCAATTATATGGACAGATTTGAAGCATTGATCATACCAACCATGTAATGCTTTTCTTTTATATATTTCACATTATCAGATATGAAGCATTGTACGTTTAGTTAATTGTTGGCTTTTCACGATTTTTTATCATTGTTCACTTTGGTTTTCGATCTTATTGTGCATCTCCAGATTATCATTGAAACTACAGAAACTCAAGTCGGCAAGTTTCTCACAAATCTACTGCCTTCTTTGGTTGTCTTCTTTTTCTATCTTAAGTACTACCTTGCTCTTCGGCTCCTGCTTCCGCCATTTGCTGTAATAGCCTGCTTTATGCTTGTGAAATTTGCCTGATGTTTTCACCTGTTCTAGCACAAGTTGGAGCTTTTGCCCTCTCACTGATGAAAAACTATGTTCTAAACTTCTAACTTCTGAGTCTAGTAAGGCTAATGATCGATCACCATTGAGATTGGTTACTATGAAAGTGAATAACAGGAAGCAGTAGTGCAAGATAACAAGATGGATATGAAAACTTTCCTGAAGCGGAGAGCCTGGGAACAAATTGGATTTTCCCTGGTAGGTTGCCAATAAGAACATATATAAGCCTTTTCCTGGATGTGAAGAAAGATGGGTCTCACTTCAAACTCACTGTAATTCCTTCCTTTCAATTGTTGTCCTCTTTCAAACTTAGTCGGAACTAATAAGTCACTCAATATCTCAATCTCTCATAGTTCGTCCATGAATAACATAGGCCACTGTTCTGTTTATTTAAGAAGTCAAATAGCCCATAGACATTCAACAATTCTCACTAGAGTACAGGCCTCAAGGTGCAATGTTGAAATCACTACAATGAATAACTGACCAATTGATCATAAAAGCTAAGTTAGAGGTGGTTGAGATGAAATTACATCCCTCAAAACTCGATGGATGAATCACTGTAACCACAACCAAAAACAGTCAAACACCTCTCATGCTTAGGGATGGGATCCCCTGTTTCTGTTTTCTGATCCTCTTGATGTTCTTCCATTCAGGAACCCTCATTCGCGATCTTCTGCTCGTTACACTGTTTGTAACAGGCTATGTAACCAATCACAAGTGAACATACCCAATCCCACTGTAACAACAAATAACAACAAAGATGAGTTGCTATGGCTCATTGATAGGTTTACACCCGATTTGCTATGTGCTGTCAAGTTAATACTTATGAAAGCATTCGTGTTTTAACTTCACCTTTACCTTCTAAATGTTGGTAACTTGCAGAACATTGGGTTTGTAACCAGGCCTAAGGAGTAACTCGTACTCTTTCCATCTGCTCCATGAATCGTCAACATAGTGTTTGGGTGTGCTATATGATCACATTGAGGTTCCTGAATTATAGAGATAGAGCTTCCTCTTGACTAGGCCTTCCTCACTAGGCACAAAAAAAAAAGAAAAAAAAAGAAAAGAACAGAATATATTGAAATGATCAGCCATTTGTAAAAGCCAAGCATTTCTAAAATCAGATAACAAATATGTCAAGTATTCCAAATTTTACCGTAAAAGTTTTATGGTTCATTAGACTCTGTTTGTTTGCAGTACAAATTTGAGCCAGATGCAAATTTTGCATCTAATTTAGTTTTGCATTTGTCTGTTTGAAAAATGTATTATTTATTTGGATTATTTGTAGATACTAAATTTAATAAAAATTATTTTATTTCACTTATTAACATAAGAAGCAAACTGGATTAGTGGCTTAAGGGTTGATTTAAGATTAAGTTGCATTGCACAGTAGGCAGCTTGGGTCCGAATCCCTTTATTTATCATTACATTTGATACAATATTGGAAGAATGGTGGGAGGTTGTGCCTTGGTCTCAAATGTCTGACCTGACACCCCATAGTTGAGGACTCAAGTATAAATATGTAAATAATATATAAATATGTGTGTAATAATATTATTAGGTATTACAAGTGAAGCCAGTGTACTGTATGAGAATGCTCGATATCCAATATGACAGTTCTAAACTAAATGATGTATCACCACAAAAATATAAGCTAGAAAATCCTCAGTCCCCACCATGCATGAAAGAGAACAAGTTTTGTTTGAATTATCTCGGGCTGGACTTGAACTCTACAGTAGAGGGCTTTACCTAAAGTTAGGCAGGGCCTAAAACTGCAGGACAAGTCCTTGCCTCCTTGGGTTTGGCCTGTGTTGACCCTAAACCCATTCCCACACAAGTCGCACTCCTATGGAGGTAGATTGTAGGTGGCCCTTTGTCCATTGTCTATACACTGAATAATTCTCTAGAATTTTTATTTGCTAATTGGAGTCATCTTTATTCCAATAGAAATCACAAGTTGCATGATTATTTTGATCCAAATTCAAAATGAGTTTGATACCAAGAATTTTGGACCCACGTACCTGGCTTGCTTAAACCAAGATTATGAGATTTTAACCCGAGAGAGGGAAGGGGTGAGGCACCCCTCTCTCATGCTCAACGAACCCCCAATGACATGATTTGCTTCTCTTGAACAAGAGTTAGAGGAATGGAATAAAGTTGAATCTCCACAATAGCTTAAATCCGGTCCTCATATCATTGGAAACCAACGAACACCTCATAGTCAAGAATTTTGCATGATTTATAGGGTGTTAAGGCTACGGAGGTTGGTCAGTCTCCGAAGGTCTCACGGGGATGGCTGTGGGGAGAGAGGAAGGGAGAGGATGACGGTTGCTGAGGATAGTGGGAGGAGAGAGGAGAGAAGTAAGAGTCTTCCTTGTGAAAAACCCTAGGTTAGAGTTATGATTACATTCTCTTTGGGGAAGAATTGCTCTCCCACTTTTATAGAGAGAAAGTTAAGGTTGCGAAGGAAGAAATTCTTTCCTGTTAAGACAGGAGATCTTTTCTGTTAGGAAAGGAGATCTTTCTTTTTGTTTGACTATTAAGGGATTTAGAGAATCTTATCCCTTATGAATTCTCTCCATATGTGACCCTAGTATTCCGACATGGCACGGGTGACATCATCATTTGGTGTGCGTACCCGCATGTGTAATTAAAAGATGTACGTGTAATTGGCATTTATTCCCGATCTACTATGATTCTGCAATTCTTGTAATGGTGTTGGGTTCACCGCAACTCTGTGTGTGTTCATGGTTTATCATAAATTCATGCATGTTCAAGGTTCATTGCAAACCAGCACGTGTCTTAGTTTTATCGCAAATTCGTGCTATCCGAAATTTATCACAACTTGTCTTGGGTATGATGTGCAATGAACTTATTGCAAACATGCGATAGGTTATGGATTCATCACAGGCGTCCACGTAACGTCGGCTTGACACCCTCTGTACTCTATTGGTCTTAGTGACCACTATGTACCTATACATGCTTTCCTAGTTTCGACGTCATAAGATAAATAGTATGGAAATACAAAAGAAACACAAGATTTATAGAAGATGATTCAAGTAGAAGATAACTTGGATTATAAGTAAATTGGTTGGAAATTGGTAATGGTGGTCCTCACTTCACTATTAAAAACTCTCCCCCTTTCCTTCCAAATAGAAAGAGAAAGAAGAAATAAAGATAGAACAATATGATGAAGTGGCAAGTTAAATGTGTCTTGAGTGGTGGAGAAGGGCTCACTTGGAAGGTTTCTTACCAATTATCTTTGGGTCACCCCTATATATAAGTTTTAGGTAGGGATAGTGGGGGCAAAGTGTCTAAAGGTTGTAAGAATATGGGTGTTTAAGGAAAAAGGGAGAGTGAGTGTATTTTGGGTATTTCAAGGGTTCTCAAGTGTAAAGTCCAAATGAGATGAACTTAGGGATATTAGAAGAAGGGGGGGGTATTGAGGATTCTTAGGGATGAAACAACCCAAATGGTATGAACTTGGGAATATCATACTTGGGAATGTTCTAGGTGAGAGGAAAGGTGAGGGTGGTATATTTTGGATAGTTCAAGGGTTCTGGGGATATTTTTGTAAAAGCTATAAGAAGGAAATATACTTAAGGGTTGGAAAATTTGGGTGGCCAATATTACTTCTAGACAAGTTATTGTGTCAAATCTACACTACAAAAAAATTGTGCAGGCCAATGATAACTTGTAAAATGAAATGTTGTCCGATTTGAAGATCAGAGAAGGAATTTTATGTGAAGGTCTAATTGGTCTAAAGAAGGATACAAGAGATTCAAGGGTCATAGGTCCCAATTAATAAGAAAAAAAATCTTGACTCGATCAAGGGATAAACAAAAGTGTTTTAAGATAAAACTTGATAGGCAAGGGTTTTAGGGCATTTGGATTCTTTTGGTGGTGTCTAATTGGTTAAGTGGGGTTTTCTGATGAGAAATTTGCAATTTAAAGGTTGTGTCCAATTTTGGGGGTCGATAACCCAAAAGAAACATATGCATAGAAAAATGTCAAATGATAAGAAACACATTGTTAATGTTCCCTTGTCAGCAATCAACCTACCCAATCAAAATTAAAAACTATCCACACAGCTGCATAGTTTGACAATGTCATTGCAATCCCATCACCTCATGATGGAAAGACTTTCCAATCTTCACTATCTCATAATGTTTTAATGCTAGTACATTCCATGACAAAGTGGTTTTCTTATAATTTCAGATGCGAAAGTAATTTGGGCGCATAGTTGTGTAAGTCTAGACACGTTAGGCCGGGTTGTGCTTAACCCTTACCTAACCCAAGTTGTTAAACCCCCAACAATGACCCTCAACCCAATGACTTCAGGTTGGGTTCAGGTTGGACCAGCTTCTTCACTTTTTGTTGTTAAAATCTTTCTACTTCTTATCTCACTTTGATATTATTATGTACACAAACACTTGCTATCCCCACCCTTAGATTGTGTAGTCTCATAAAACAATAAGTTTTAAGCCCTCCCTAACATCCTTTTTCCATGCATCCCATGGGGCCCGATAGGTAATAATATAATTAGTGAAAATCTATGTTATGGGAAAGATATGGTACATGAAGAGTTTTAACCAATCAAAACCCACTCATGAATTTTTATAAGTAACACCTAATTGGCTATCACGTTTGTGATACCAATTGATTGGTCAAAAAGTTTTTAAACATCATATCTTCCCTATATCATAATCGAACCCAATTAATTGTAATTTACTGGAAAATGTGGTTTCAATGGAGATGCCAACTACTATACATGTTGTAAACAGTATATAAATTAGGGGTTGTTTAGCAAGTCATTTTTGAAAGATCTTTTGGAAGCTTTGACGATCAAACGACAATGTGAGCTTTTACATCAAGATTTTAACAGTTTGAAGACTATTTGGTTAAAGCGCATTTGTCTGCATGTCCTTCTGCACAAAGATGAATTGAAAAAAAGGGCACAAAACTCCATTTGGGACTGTGTTTTTTTACAGTTAACCAAATAGCCTGAAATGGGCTTTCCGTGTCTTTTTGGGGCTGTGGTTTTTTACAGTTAGATCTTTTTCCAATTAAAATGGGAAAAGACCAAAATGCAGACTATTGGGCTTCTAAAAATTTGACAGCTCGCACAAAAAAGACACCAAACAGAGGCTAATCTAGGAAAAAACAAGAGTATGCATGTTCGTCATAATGGGTGGAGTAAACAAATAATTGCTTACCATTTTCTCTTGACCAAAAAGACAAGTAGGGGGCTGAAAAAAAAACTACCAAATTTCCTCAATGAGTGTTTAATATCCACTTACAAAACTGAATTGCATGCAATCCTTCATATGGTATAAACTAAAAGGTAGGGCTACGATCAAATCAAATCAGATGTAGAAGGATTCAAATTTGATTTGTCTTTATTTAAATTCAAATCAAATATCTATATAAATTTTGTATTCAATTCGGATTACAATCAAATATTGAATAGTATAAATAGATTAAACCATAAATGATCAAATAGTGTATATTATTAATAAAATGAACTGAAAATGACTACGATTAATGTACATTTAATGAATAAAATGAAAGGAGAATGACGGTTCAGCCCAAGGTCAGAATTTTGTAACCTAAAGTATTGTTGGGTAGGTGCCAGGTCGAAATTGATGCCAATTCATGAACAGACATTAGAGCATAGAGTGTGGATTGTTGACATATTGAATATTTATAACTCTGTAGTGAAAATCAAAAATCTGCATTGGGCCTGTCTACACTTTTCCATAAAATGAATAGAAAATCAATTATATGAATCTTGAACCTATGACAACATCTAAACCCATCTTTCATTTACACTTTTTTCCATTTGTTCCTTCTAATATTTATTGCTTTTACCTTGGCACCTTCAAAATCACTTTCTTTTCTTCACTTATACACACTAAAATAGATGTCCTTTTGATGAATACTCAACATCTCTATTCAATTCTTTGTTCTTCTTCAAATCCCATGCATTTTGTTTTATTGCTCCTCTTCCTCTTTCTTTACCTAACTAAAATTCTCTTCATTTCTTCATCCTTTACGTACCCTGCCTTGTCTCTACCTCTCTCTCTCTCTCTCTTCTTGGCTGCCATGTGTTTTCGCACAAAGCATCCAAGAGGGGAAATCTCTCTCTAGTTACATTCACTCACCAAAACCCGAAACCCCATTTAATTCAGCCTAGTTCTTTGCTACTCGCTACACACAGCAAGTGACAAAGAGGGACAATTGTAAATATAAAAACATTTTAATTCTTTTTTTCTTTTTCTTATGGGCCCCACCCCTCCTTTCTTTTTACATTTTCCTTTCCTTTCTCCCCTGATCCCTCTTCCTTCCCTTTCCCTTCTCCGCTCCCTCCTCTCCTCTCCCATATATTTCCTTCCTTTCATTCTCCCTCTCTTTATCACCATATCTTCTTTGTTTTTTTTTTTCTTATTTTAATTTCCCTCATGCTTGCCATTCTTGCTCCCAAATTTTCTCTCATCTTCCCCCTTCCTTTTCTTGCTTCCCTCCCCAATGTCTCTTAACAACCATCTTAAAATCCCTAAAATCAGCCCTGAAGAAAAAAAAAAAAAAGGTTGGGAACTTCTCCAATACTCTTCCATACAACAGAGCAACACAAAGTTCATTTTAGATCCCAATATCATCATTTTCGATTTCAGATCGGCACCAAGTGATTAACATCCTTGCAGTAGCAATCCACTTTTTTTCTTGTTTCACTTGGGTAAGCAACTATAGCAACCATCATTAACAACTTCACAACAGGGCTTCTGTAGCCCACCGTCAACCATTCGCATCCATTAGCAATGCATGCCAGAGAAGAAGCTTGCCGTTGGCATGAGCAACAACTTATCACTGATAATCAGGAAAGATCTAAACCATTCTATTTAATACTTCTTCATTTGCTTCATTTATTCTAACTGTGCTACCACTCATTGTCATTGTTAAAATCATTTTGATTGGGCTGTATGCAGATAGTTTGCAGATAGCTAGGCAGTCTTAGAATGCTGTTTTGTTGTTGATTTGCAACCCCATTGTCTAAAAACCTTATGATTCAAACACACCAATAACATCAAGAATCAAAAAATATATTCTTGGCTTAGCTACACTTCATATGTACGGTTTTAGACTTGATTCTGCCTTATAATATTGTGCATATTAGGAATAGATTTTATTTCTTGTCTTCATTTGTTAATCCTTTCCCTTTTCTCATGACTATCTTAGACTATTCATTTCTGAATATCCGAATTATTGCTCTTTTACTATAACAATTCAAATCTTCATTCTAATTGCTTCGCTTGTTGTATATTATACTTGTTATCTTAATGTCATTTGAACTCTAGATTTGTTGTATCTGCACCTTTGTTGACAAGTTTCATTTATTTTACTGCCTCTTTGCTCTAAATCCCAATTTATTGTGTTCTTTTCTTCGGTTTTTTCCTGACACAAAGATGCGCACTAAATTTAACTTAGCCATACTAGCTCTTTCCTAAACTCGATTACTTTAAATGTGACACAAAGTAGTCTCGTTAATGCAAGACTCCTCTAGAATCTAAATCTCTTCTAGACCCCTGGTGTTTTCAGTCTTGACCAAGACGAGGGAGATTGCCGAGGCGTATATGGGTCAGAGAGTCAAGAACATTGTCATCATTGTGCCAGCCTATTTCAATGATTCACAGAGGCAGGTGACGAAGGACGCCAGAGCCATTGCTTATGGTTTGGATAAGAAGGCTTCAAGTTTGGTGAAAAGAACATTTTCATCTTTGATTTAGGTGGTGGAACCTTCGATGTTTCGCTGCTAACCATCGATGAAGGAATTTTTTAGGTGAATGCCACTATCGGAGATACCCATCTCGAGGGTGAGGACTTTGACAACCAGCATATTTCAACCACAATGGAGAATTATGCATATAGCATGAAGAATATGATCAGGGATGAGAAGTTTGTTGGGAAATTGAACATTGTAGATAAGCAAAAGATGGAGAAGGCAATTGATGAGACAATGGGTTAGCTTAACAAAAATCAGTTGGCGCAGGTGGATGAATTGGAGTACAAACAGAAGGAGTTGGAGGGTTTGTGCAATCCAATTATAGCGAAGATGTACCACAATACCAGGGGAGTGGGGGTGACATGCCTGGAGGTATGGGCGGTGGTGCCAACATGCCGGATGGAGGGTATGGCTATGGCCAAAGCAACAATGGAACTGGTACAGGAGTTGGGCCTAAAACCGAGGAGGTTGATTGAAGTTCGAATGAAATCCTAAATTTTAAAATAAGATTTTTCATTTTTTTTTTTTTGTCTTTTTAGTGTCTGGTTCAACCAATCCGGACTCATACACTATATCCATATTTGTTCCTATTATTAACGGATGAAATTTAGATTGTAAGATTGATGGGATTGAATTCAAATTCAATCAATTAGATGCTATTTGCAGCCCTACTAAAAATCAGGATCCATTTCATTCATAGTATAGTGGGAATTGGAATTGGAATTGGAATTGGAATTGGAATCAAAGTCCATTGAAATCAGGTTACATTCCCTAGGGACGGGAGAGAATGATCATTTCCTCAAATAAACAAATGAAATTTCCACTAGGAATCACCAATAATGTAATTGAAATTCTAATTCTGCTCGATCAAACAATTAGAATCAAATTAAAAGTTACAATTCTGATTCCAGACCCATTCCCGCAACCAAACGGACCCTCAGTTACCATTAGGCGTAATTTGCACGCACACGCTGAGACGCAGTCCATGGTAAATATGCACGGGTCGTGCAACCCGTTGTTTTTGTTTTTGACTTTTTCCTAACATTCTAGTGACTTGTGCAACCCGTCGATAGCTTGACTTGCTTTGTGCAGCTAATTGAAGTCTGAAAGCTTGGTTTCACCTTGATTCTTACCAAACCCCGTCCCGATGCTGGACACGTTGCAGCCAGCTGGGCTGAATTTCAAAGCGAAGCCCACCAGTCATTGCCAATGAGAAGACTATACTCCAGGTCAAGTCAAGTCTTCTTCTCCTCAACATTTTTATTTCAGTGCTACTGCTACAAGTCACATCACAACCAAATAAAATTGTGTCTTTCAATCTCTATTGCACTGCATCCGCCTCTAGCCCACCAGTTTTAAATCGTCATGGCTGAGCTAGTCCTGTAACACACATGGCCTCCCATCTATATCATTCTAGCCCGGCCATATCGGCATAGTTCGGCCACATTAGCCTAATTCGGCATATACGCCTTGAAACGGTTAATATCGATCAAGAGCTGATTTAGGGACTGTTCGTTTGACAGACCTGTATTTGCCCAATGTTTAGAATTCCTTCAACTTCTCTTGGAATCCCATTCCATGTCCTCCTGCTCTCCCTGTTCTTACTCTTGCTGGGGAACTCGCAAGCCAGGAGCTTAAAAGAAAAAGAACAAGAGATTCTACTGAAAATGAAGCAAGAATGGAGGAATCCACCATCCCTCAGCTCTTGGAATTCATCAACCAGTCACTGCAGCTGGACGGGAATTTCCTGTGTCCAAGGTTTCATCACCCATATTTCACTCTTTAACATGAGCATCACAGGAGCAATTCCACTACCCATCGCCAATCTCAGGAACCTCACCTACATTGACTTCTCCTACAACTATATGACTGGGGAATTCCCAGCCGTACTCTACAGTTGTTCCAAGCTTCAGTATCTTGATCTCAGCCACAACAGATTTGCTGGCGTTATTCCAGACGATATCCAAAGCCTTTCTGGTCTCATGTTCCTCAATCTTGGCTTCAACAATTTCTCAGGACAAATCCCAGTGGGAATTGGACGATTAGTGGCATTGCAGGCGCTCTATCTTGATTCTAACAAGTTTAATGGAACCTTTCCGGTAGAAATCGGCAACTTATATAACCTGGAAGAACTGTACTTGTCTCATAATGAGTTTGAGCCGTCAAGGATCCCATCGGAATTCACTCAGTTGAAGAAGCTTGTTCTTTTGGATATCTCAAATACCGGTCTGATTGGAGAAATTCCACATTCAATGGGTAATCTGTCACAACTTGAACTTTTGAAACTTTCATACAACAATTTGAACGGAACGATCCCCGATAACTTGTTTCAGTTGAATAAACTGAAGTTTTTGTTTCTTGGTAGTAATAGATTGTCTGGAGAGATCCCATGGTCAATAGGTAATCTGACGGATATTGAATGGTTGGTTCTCCAGGAAAACAAATTGAGCGGGACTATCCCTGCTGACAATCTGTTTCAGTTGAAGAAACTGAAAACTTTCTCTCTTTTTAATAACAGATTGTCCGGACATATCCCACAATCAATCGGTAATCTGACAGAGCTTGAATGGTTGACTCTCTCAAAAAACAAATTGAATGGGATGATTCCTAGTAATTTGTTTGAATTAAAGAATCTGCAGCTTCTGTCTCTTCATACCAACAGATTGGCTGGAGAGATCCCACAAACAGTCGGCAATGCGACAGAGCTGCTTGGCCTCGATCTCAGGCACAACAAGTTGAGTGGGACAATCTCCGGAAATTTGTTTCAGCTGAAGAAACTACAAGAATTGTATCTTTCTAATAACAGATTGTCAGGAGAGATTCCACAGTCAATCGGAGGCGTGATGGAGCTCAAAATATTGGACCTCTCCGAGAACAATTTGAACGGGACGATCCCAACTAATTTAGTTATGTTAAAGAAATTAGAGATTTTGATTCTTCATCAGAACATATTATCTGGAGAGATACCACAATCAATCGATAATTTGACAGAGCTCAACACCTTGGATCTCTCGCACAACAAGTTGAACGGGACGATCCCCAGAAATTTGTTTAAGTTGAAGAACCTACAAAATTTGCATCTAGCTGAGAACAGCTTGTCTGGAGAGATCCCACGACAAGTTGAGGCTTTGAATTTGATCAGAATTTATCTCTACAACAACAATTTGACGGGTACAATTCCAGAAGACTTTGGGAGATTGAACAAGTTGGAGATCTTATCTTTGCATTCTAACCAGTTACACGGAGAGATATGAAGCAATATCAGACCCAGACATCCCTCATGTTGGTCTGAAAATAAAAGAAAATTAAAACATCTTTATTTGATCTTGTATGTTTCATTTATATAATTTTAGAACACTGCTAAGAGAGAAACCATGCTGCATTTTCAACCCCAATAGAGACAGAAATAAGGGGGAAAGGGAAGGATATTGTTTAAACAAGAGTTAGAAGCAGTGCTGCCATATAGGCTGTTTTCTGTGAAAATAGCACTGATTTTGTTTGGTAACAGTGCTGTAAAACCGTTTTTAGCATTGGTCAATATTATCCAACATCCAAGATGATGCCACATCATTGTACCGCTGGCACCAATTAACTGTTTTCTGAGAAAATGTTGAATTTGTCGTTTCTTCATACCACACTTACCTGACTTCCAAGGTGTAATCTGAAGCAACGTTTTTTTTTCTAAAAAACAGTACCAAATAAGATGTCATTTTCTAAAGCACTGCTTTTTCTGATATGGTGCCTACATGGTGCTGTTTTCTCAGAAAACGGTATTGATGATAAACACCACCTTAGTTGAGTGCATTTCTTTTCTACTTTTCCTTGCTGGAGCACCGCTTTATGTGATGTGGTGCCTACATGACGCATCGATGCCAAACACTGCCTTACTTGAATGCGTTTCTTTTCTACTTTTCCTGACTTTATCTTTTTGGGCCCCAACAAGATGTTACCAACACAGCTTCCAACGTGCATGGCCTATATAGGCACATCTCATATTTCATGGAAATCATTTCTGAGATGTATTGTTATAGATTATGCCAGAAGCTTTGTTGGTAGCGTCTTATTGATAGCATATCCAAACTCTTATGACAAATCAAGAAATTAGACAAAAAAATGTGGTTAATCAAAATGCAAACTTCAAAAGCCTATAATTTTCGAGATCTATGGTTGCAAGGAACCAAAAACACCTTGTGCCATTATTTGTACCCAAAAGTCCAAAACCCCTTTTCTAGACAAATCCCAATTTTAATATTTTTATAAATAAAAAATATTTATGTATATTTAATTATAATTTATACCAAGTATGAATAAGTTGTTGAAGTTTCTGGAATTTTTTTAGGGAAAATTCTTAATTAGTATCCTTGTACTTTGGGTCTAATGTCACTTTGGTCCCCCAACTTTAAAATGCGATAATTCAGCATCCAAATTTTTAAAACGCAACAATCTAATAACTGTTGTTAACTAGCCGTTAAGTAGTATTTGAAAAAGACACAAATGCCCTTCAAATGTTATTTAATTTTCTTTATCAACCATCTAAACGTTGACAAAAAAATTAACAGTCCCAAATCTTTGCTTTTTCCATTCAAAAAGTTGTCACATTTGAGTGGCCATTCGGGTGACCCCAACTTTCTTGAATAGAAGATGAGACTGTTAATTTTTTTTTCATTGTTTTGATGATTAATAAAGAAAATTAAATAACACTCGAAGGGCATTTGTGTCTTTTTCAAATGCTACTTAACGACTAGTTAACAGGTAGTTAACCTGCTGGATTGTCATGTTTTAAAAATTCAGGTACTGAATTATCGCATTTTAAGGTTCAGAGACCATAGTGGCACTAGGCCCAAAGTACAATATGTTAATTGGGAATTTTCCCATTATTTTACAATTATGACAATTTAATCTATAGCACTATAAAAATATTTATGTATATTTATTTATAATTGCCCATCATACTCCCTATTTAAATAGAAGGGCAAAAATGTCAATTTAATCAATATGACATTTATTTATGGGGTAATTTGAGTTAATCCACCTGAGAATTCATAATGCGATCGTACAGGTCGAATAAGTGTCAAGAGAGGATTTCCATTTCATCGGGGACGATGCTATTTATAAGGGGGGATAAATACATTTAAAGGAATTAATAAATGAATTTAGAGGTAGAGTGGATTATAAAAATGCTTTTATTTTTCATTAAATCTATGGTACATGACGCCCCTGCTTTCCAAGTTGATCCTATTTACCTAATTGCCAAAAGTGTAAAATGCAAAATTCATTTATAATGGCATTAAAATGCTACTATTATCATTTTATTAGCGCACCCTAATAAGCAATTCATTAATGTGATAATAAGGTAATGATGTGATTTCTTTGGAATCTAGATCTTATCCCAACAAATAACTCTCTCAACACTCTTTAACATGATGTTTATTCCAGCGTTTTCAACCCGCCATTCACCCAATCGGTTGATTTGTTTAAACTGTTATTTGGTTAGGATTTTAGGTTTGGTTTAGTCAAACCCATTAAACGGTCAAAAACCATTGATTTGGTAAGAACCATCTGATTCGGCCTGTTCAACCGTTGACCCATTCAACCCAGTCACCGGATTACAGGTTGTAAATTCAATGCAAGTAAACTTTCAAAGGCCATAACTTTGCACTCCAATGTTTGATTATGGTGATCTTTTTCTATTATAGGTAACTTTTCAAGATCTCTGTGTACGTGCCTTACTCCACTATTGTTGCAAAAAGAAACTCCTTTTTTGGTCTCAAATTGCGATTTTTAATATTTTTATAAATAAAAAATTTAAAACTGAATTAAAAAACATAAATTAAATATAAAAATACATATAACAATATAAAACATAATTATACATTATTTATTAATAATATATACCTTATATATATATTTACCTTAAATACATGTGAGACGGTCTAACCCATTCAATCTGTACAATTAAACCGGTGACTCGTGACCCAGAGACAAAAATAGTTTACCTTCTAAATCGGTTTTTAAAACATTGATTTATCCACATATTAGATGTGTGCGACTCATGTTGAAACCGTATTAGGGAAAGTTTTTGTTAGAGGAGATCCCAACTCAACTTTTTGGGGCTACTTTATGTTTTGAGTCTCACTAAAAATTGAGCTTTGCTTGTTACAAGAAAAATGGTTTATCCCTAATTGCTAGTCTTAACACTCTTTCAGAGCAATTGGGTAAAACCGTAAAACTCTAATAAAAGAACAAGGAAAATGGAAAAAAAAAATACATACAACTATTTGCTTTCTTGATTATTCTTAATTAATCATTCTTAACTAATCATTGTATCTTCCAATGCAAATTTGGATACCAACAAACTTGACGCATCTTGGTGATATTTGACTTGGGCTTCTCTTATAAACTATATATAGTTGGTGGTTGAATGAATGCAAACAACATAAGGCCCTCCTCCCTTAGACATTTCCTTAGAATAACTAAGGCTTCATCATCAAAACTGGAAACCTGAAAGTGTAAAGACTTGATAAGATTCTTGTCCAAAGAAATTTAATTAAGAACGTTGCACAAAAGCAGGGTTGAGAATCTTTCATAAAAGAACTACAAGTAAGAAAATTGCTTATATGGTGGAACTTTTTAAGGGGAGAAATGACTCCCAAAACCTCTGGATTAGCATTTTAATACTGCCACCTTAGGCCTATGTTGGTAATTTTGCAACTGCCGGCTTTGTCTATCTGACTTTTTGTATGTCCTTTTCGTGTAGTACATTTTTTATACTTTTATCTTAAAGAAGACGTATTCTCTTTGAATCCCACTTATGACATGACCGGGTCTTTATATATAAACAATTAATGAAAAAATCTATTCTGCCACCCCCAAGTGAATTTGATAAAAAAACACCTGATTAATTATTGGGTACCGCTTTAATGATAACAGTTGTTTGGTTACAAGTTTTTTTTTTTTTTCAATATCATAGTCAAACCCTTGAGCAAATATGATAGTTCTTAAATTGTCATGTGCAATACTAGTACATATTATAAATATAAAAAAATTAAAATTAAAAATTGAACCGATCAACCAATTAACCGACTGATTCAGTTTGATACTTTATATGAATCAAAAGTACTGGTTCAGTTTCAAATATTCAGTTCACCAAATCGTGAGTACCCTTGAAAGGAGTTTGGGGCATGTTAAAAAGAAACCCGGTTGAACTTTGAAGTAATAAGAAATAATTTAAGCATCATTTAACAAAGAACATGACACTGAACAGAATAGAATGGCAAAATAGTGTTCATGTAATAGATCTCATCTAATTGCGACAAAAATTAGATGTTATGTTGATTTTTCAATTTGCAAGCTTAGCCTTCTGGATGCCCGAGTTTAAGCTTTCAAAGTTCTGAACCACTTATTCCAGTCTGAGAAAAACTTGTATCCCTCCACACCAAATGCTGAACCTAAATTGAAGATAACCCCATCCATTCTATGAAACCAACAAAATTATCTTACAATATATTTTGAAAAGAAAATGTTGGGGAAGAAAGTTTGAATTTTTCAATGCATTGATCACTATCCCACCATGTGTAGTAAGTACTTCACCACACTGCCTCAACACCAGTCACCATGTTCATGAAATTTGCCTAATCGTTTCATCCATGGCTCGCTTGAACCCTTGTCCTCTTAAAAGATAATAAACCAAGTTCTAAGTCTCGCAAGGTTTAAGATCAATCACTGTTGAGGCATTGTGGAATCATGGAACACTTCTTTGATAAATAGCTAGAGAATGACCCCGTACTAAGTTCAGATGGCCAAGGGAATTTACAAAAGCACCCCACGTCTTAAGCTCAGATGGCCAAATTTTCTATGGACTGTCTTATTGGTGGAATGTTCCACCTGGATGGCTCGAAGCCTCGAACCTTTCTGTTGTATTCCGTTTTGTTAGTCTAATATATTTTCATTTATCAAAACAAAAAATAAATATTGGTCCTTAGTTTATGGAATACGCAGGAAATTACCTCCCTTTTCAGAAAGAAGAAAACTAGCAAAGCAATAATGGATTTCATGATAATGTTAAAGAAACCACCAACTCCCTCGTCTGTATGCTCCTATTCCTATGAATTCTAAAGCAATATGGAACGATAATAGAAGTGCACTTCAGCACTTGCTTGATTATCTATCCAGACAAAGGTTTTAGTTCAAAGTTTTCTTTTTTTTTTTTTTTTTTTTGCTTCGTATTTTAGAGAACTTGATGGCTGATATTTTTTGACGATCTACATAAGAAAAGATGAACAAAAAAATGGAAATGGTAGAAGTCTTAATGCTGGAAAATGAATACCATATTTGTTCGCAAGCGCCAAATGTTGATCATCCTAGGGTCTCCTTGTTCAAAACCATACAAGACCAAAAGTGCTCTCTAAATGCCCAACAAGATTAGAACCAATCCACAGAAGAAATACTGCACAGTTTTCTGATGCCACCGTGTTCCTCACCTCATGATACTTCAAACTCGGCCTTCCTCTCCTCCAGAAGCCTTAGCTCTTGACGCCAACCTTCCAATTTTGCCACCTTCTCTAACTGCTCGGGATTCATATCCTTCTGGTCAGTTTTCTGCTGTTGAGCTTCTGTGAATCGAATCTGCAAAATTTACAACTTCCAGTGAAAAGCAATCCCAAATACCATTTGCTAGAACTTTATGGGCGCGTTCGTTTTTTGTGAAATGAAGGGGGAAGGTTTGGTCATACCCAAACCATGTTCGGATTTCAAGAATAAGTGAGACCCACGGTAAATTTTATTTCCCGAGGTATTACTTAAAAGGTTCGCCGTTCTAGAGCTTCTCCCCTTCTACTGTTCCTTCTCCAAAACTTGACGAGCATAGAGGAGTTGCAGCAGCAGTGACCTCCCCAAACTCTTTCTCTTTCTCTCATTCTCTTCCCTCTCTCTCTTCTTTCACTTCTCTTCTCTCCCTCTATCTCTCTCTACATCATCCTCAACATCTACCGCTGTCAATCTAGATCCAGCAGCCACTACTATTTTCATAGCCACACCTGTTTCATCTAGTACTCTCGCCTGAAATCAACTATCCGATGGTTTTCCTTTCATCCTCACGATAGTGACCCACTTCACGTAGCACTATACATCGATTTCAGAGCGGTCCCCTGTTTCAATATTCCCAATCATCGATTTCAGTTTCAGAGCTACTCTTTTCGTTGCTGGTAGCACTATACATCAAAGAGTTTAGGAAATAGTAAGAAAAGGAGGATTCGATTGCTACTTGTAATCCCATTGCTACAGATCTGGGCGTCCCATTGTGAAGTGATTCTCGACAACAAACAGGTGTCATTCTTGCTTCTGACTTTAATTGGAGATGCCAGGATCCTCAGATATCCCCTTGAATGATTGATTTGAACCTATTGAAACCTCCTATATCTAT